CAAACACCGTATTAGTATGGTGTTCCTAATAATCCTTTAGGTGAGTGTATATATATATATATATATACACAGTACTGTGCAAAAGTCTTAGGCAGGCAAAGAAAATGATGTTTAGATTATCCTTGTGTTGGTGTACAACTATGATATTATACCTGTCAAAGTGTGTCAGCTTAGACATTTCAGAACCTCTGCTAAAATCATCCCAGTATTTGCAGTGCCCATCCAGTGCAGCCATGTATTTTTGACTTGACCACTAGCCCACCTCATACAGCTAGTCAATCTGTCACTGACTTTTTAAACCAATTTATTTCATTATTTAATTGAGCTGTTGGTGAAATTTGACAAAATCATGGAACGGCTGAGGTGCGTTTGGGAACTGAAGCGGTGTTCATCTAGCAATCCAACTAGATATCAGTAATTTTTTAGAAAACAGAAGAAATTATTACTAGTTTTTATTGTGTTACTTTTAATTTGCACATGTTCTAATGTTAAATTGTGTTTTTTGTTCTAAACCAAAGTACACTTGCTACCCATATAAACAGCTTTAAACATTTCTTTGGACTGCCATACTTTTGCACAATACTGTTTATATAGTATATATATATATATAGTCTGTGTGTGTTTTGTGTAGTAAATGTTCTCACAGGTGCAATGTATGTGAGTTTAGGAAAATTAAAAAGGTCCGTTTGCTTCTTTTTGGACATCTTACATAATAGTTTATATATTGAATTATTGTGGAAGGAGCTCAGACTTAAAACTACTTTTAGTTTTTAAGACATTAATGATAATTTTTACTGTCATTTAGACTTGCCTAAAACATTTTGTTAAATTGGATTCAGTTATGTGAATTGATGAAATTACAAAAAATCTGAAGTTCAAGCTTAATTTCAAAGGACCTAATTGCATAATCTTTTTATTTTTTAAGGAAATAGTCTAACGTGTTATGTCCAACTAAAATGCTATGCATGGTAAGTTTTTTTTTTTCCTTTTCCTTCAAGGACAGCAACTTGAAAATTGATATGCATGGGAATCGACACCTGGGACTGGAAATGTACATTTGGTGCAGACAGATCAGTGATATAAGCAGCTTTTTGCGACAAAGACTGACGTTGTATCTACTAGTAACATTTGTTAGCAGAAGGTGAATGTAAGGTATTCAATATTAACTTCACATATCTTGAGTTGTTGCAGTGAAACAGTGACTGGTTATATGGGGGGAGGGGGGTGGCATGAGCAAAATTAGGCATGTTTACAGGAAACTGTTCAAATACACAAAAGTGAGATTCATATAAAGGCTGAGTTCCAGAAAAACTTCATTCGAATTTAAAAATGAAAAGATCAGGCAGGTCATTTATGTCAGAATCACTCCCTACACTGTCCTGTCTGTTGTTTCCCTGCTTGGCCAGCAGATGTCGCTGGCCATCCCATTCCTAGTGTTTGAGTTCTTATGGTGTTTTACTGATTATGACCCTCATCTATGTCCTGTTACTCCTGCTCCCAAGAGACGGTTAATCTGAACAAGAAACAATGTAGATAGTAGAAAAAAACAAAATTATGGTTATCCTTATAAGTTAGTGGATTATTTCCCTTTTAAAAGGTACTGACATCTGGCTATGTCTTACTATAGTCAAAAAATTATTAATCCATTTATGCAAGTCATAATCTACTTTTCTGTTGCTAGAATTGGTAATTAATTGGAGATTGTAGTCACCTATTTATGTCTAAGAGCATGTTTATACATGTAGCTAAAAGATTATTTAGTTTTAAGGTGTTTTCAATATAACTGATTGATCTGTTTAATGAACAGTTTTAAAAGACTACTGTAATTTCAGGAAACAGCAGTCTTCCAATATGACTTATTTTCCACTTACTGCCAATTACATAACTATCTCCAATGGAAAACTTCTCCACACCACTCAACATCAGCAAAAATTATTAGCTGCTTTCCTCACCATCGAAGCAGATTAGTTTCACATGCTTCTGTCCAGTTTTAATAATCTGTGACAACTCAACCAGGCTGCATTTCTCATGCGCAAAAGGACTTATTTGGAAAGTGCCTTCTAAGGTTTTTACACATCTGCTCAAACTGTGTACTGAATCAGTATATTTACAAATGCGGCAGTATTACAATAAAAGTAGCCTATGCTTTGAAATGAATGTTGGTGGTGAAAATGGACAGGAAGTCCTGAGCTGCCACAAAGTGGTTTTACTTTGGCATAAATTCGTCATTCCTGTAATATGGTGAATTTCTGTCCATACGATTTACTTACTCATATTTTCTCTAAAATGAATCACATTTACAAGAAATTGCTTAAAATATATATTTAGGTCTTCTTTAACATTCAAATATGCATAATAGATATAAAAATTACAATTTTGTATTTTACACGCCTTTTATTGATATATGCATTTAGTTTTATAATATCTTCACTCCAAAGTATGAACTTCCACAAGAACCTCCAACCAGCAAATGATAAAAATCTCAAAATATTCTGTAAGTTATAGACTAGGCTAAACTCTTTCTAATCATGCACACAAATCAAATGGAACTATAGTTATTTTTTACAATTTTTTTAAATTGTCCCTGAAGTCATCTTCCACCCTGTTAGCATGTACTTTCTCACTTTCCAAAAATGGCTACAGTTCCTTTGAGACCATTTTCCTGAAGTGACATCTTTTTTCGGTGGGAATTCAACTGTGCAAACTGATGTACGCTACGCTTCAACTATCACTCCTACCTTTTTCTTTTTAATTTATAAAATGTTATCCTGCTTGACACATTCTTAAAGTTTCATCTGTTAGGCTACGTTATGGTGAAAGTTTGTCCAATCAAAAAAATCAAGGGTGGACAGTAACAAAGTACATTTACTTGAGTACTGGACCTAAGTACATTTTTTGAGTATCTGTACTGTACTTGAGTATCAGCTTTTTTAGAGACTTATTACTTTTGACTCCACTACATTTCTATGAAGGTTTTCGTTGCTCATTACAAATGATCTTTTCTATATACAGTATATTTTTTGTATATTGAATAGTTTTTCTTTATTGCTATAGTCACTTATTTCTTTTTATTACTCCATCTGCTGCTGTAACAATGCAAATATCCCAAATGTGGGATTAATAAAAGTTATCTTATCTTATCTTGTCTTACACACTATATTGTATAGGTACAGACAGAGGCAATTCTAGGGAATTTGAGAGCCCCAGGCAAAAAACTCCATGGGCAACTCCCCCTCCCCTAGCATGATACAATTTGTTACCTTTTTTCAGTAAAGTGTACATTAATAATATCAACAAAGACAATTTAATAAACACAAAACCTTTATTTTCACTTTTGTGAAAAACAGAGTACACAAATAAAGCAGATTTGACATTGCAATGTACTATGTGTAATTGGCCACCCTTGGGAGCCCCCTCCCAGCTCGGGGCCCCAGGCCCTTGCCTGCCCTGCCTGTCCTGTCCTGTCACTCCACCTCTGAGTGCAGGTCACACACCATAGGTGGCAAAGCATGCAGGGCAATAAGGGAACTCATCTACTGTTAGAACCTGTTAATATTGTTGTTCCATTCCACCTTGATATACTCCATTCCACCCTGTTATGCTCCATTCCACCCTGATATACTCTATTACACCCTGTTATACTCCATTCCACCCTGTTATACTCCATTCCACCCTATTATACTCCATTCCACCCTGATATACTCCATTACACTCTGCTAGACAAGTCATTTTTAAATAATAATTTGATAGGATCACGAAATGTTTTTTTGTGTTATTTTGGAAGGTGAGGAAAATTAACAGCATATATGTGTTTTGTACAAAATTTTGGTATTATTTGCCATCCTGTCAGTGAAAATGGGCACAAAAAAGTAGTGGTTCTTAATAATCAAGACATATTCTTGTCATCAATAATTGTTTTGTTATTATTTCAAGAATAAAAATACGATGGTGGCATAAGGTACTATCAAAGAAAAGCTCATTATTGTTTAACATTTACACTATTAACATTTTGTGATCATTTATGCCCCGTATAATGTACTCATAATTAATACAGAGCACGTTTTTACTTCATAATTACGTTTCTGTTGGTTTGTTATATTTTGTGGTTCCCTGTCAAAGGAGAGAAAACGAACTATTATTGCAATTTTTATACCCCTCCCTACCCAATACAAACAATACATATCATAAATCTTTTTTTAAATAAACTGAAACAAATACCCTGTGGTTAAGCACGTTGAGCTTTAGGCAGATTTAGTACATTTCGTAAATATAACACTGTTATAAGACAGTTTTGAAGCACGTGGATCATACAGTAATACAGTAAACGCATTACAGAATTATTGTGGATGACGTCTATATGCTGCGACGGGCTAAAATGTGTGTACATTTAAGACGCTGGGAAGAGGTGGAGGTTTCATGCGTAGTAAAGGGATGTTGAATTAAACCATAAATTGAACCGTTTTTGTTGCCAAACTATAAGGTGAGCAGTCATTCTCAGTGATTAAATATTTGTACCCCTTGCGTTTCCAATGTGCAGTTTTTCAATACGAGCTGGGTTACTTGCTAGCTAGCTAGCCTAATTTATGCGGAATGCGCAACCGTTGCGGATGTGGTGCAGAAAAATGCGCATTAATGCGACAGCATGTATTTTTATGACAGTTTTACAGTCGCAGTATAATGCACCCATACTATCGTAATTTTCACGATTAAATGCTGAGATGCAACTTTGATGACTTTGTAGTAATTATTCTGTTATTCCTTTTTTTCTGTAGGTGTGCCTCCCCGTCGATATTTTCAGCGGGGTGTTTGGCGTCAGTGATCATGTCTGTGCTATTTTTTTATTTTTACAAATCAGTCTGATAGAACTGTGCGTGTGCTTGCTTATATATATTGTTTTTGCATATCAGTGTGCATCATTGCATTCTGTCCTTGTTTATGAATGCTTGGATTTTCTTGTATAGCTGTTATTTTTATATATATATATTGTATTTACATATTAACAGCTACAGGTATCCATTAACTAGTATATCTGTCTAAGTGCATGACTAATAATATAGGCAAGTAAATTGTTTTATATTATATATATATATTGATTATAGTGCCTTTTGCATGTTAGATATCAGCTTGATAACTAATAAGTGAATGTACCACTCGTGTGATTGTGTGCCTTTGCAGTTTGCTGGCCAGGTGAGTCAGACAGTAAATGTTCAACAATGTGTTCAGGAAGTGGTTGGTCAGCTGGCGTGTGACTGTGACTGTGCGTCTGTCCATCTGGACCGGTCATTGTGCCTACGATTCAGGCCTGATCCATGACAGAGTACTATGAGGAAGGGGGGCTGCTGTATGAGCATTCACCCCCAATGCACATCAAAGTAGAGTCTCCTGAAGGACCCATCGAAGCTGGGGTCTCAGAGGATGGCCTCACGAGGGAGGATGACGATTCCGAGGGCAGCTGTGACCATGAAGGAGCCCTGCCTGGTGGGCTCCCTTTCAATGTGGTGGTTGTGCACCCCAATATCGTGGTTCCAGTGATGCCGACAGATGATGATATCATATCTCTTGAACAAAGTAAGCGAATCATTTTCAATAAGATTACAAGCCTTTAAGGATATCAGTTTTAAAGAGCTGCTCTCTTCTCGTAGATTCTGACTAGGTATTTCATTCATTTTTCTTCTGTAGATAGCAGTGTCTCTGCTGCAATTGCAGCTGGAGGTGGGGGGAAGCGAAAAAGCCGCTTCAGTGGGGCAGAGCTAGAAGTGCTAGTATCAGAAGTGACCCGGTGTGAGGGGGAGCTCTTTGGGCCGGCAGGACGACTCCGACGTAGGGAAAGGGAACAGATCTGGGGCAGCATCCTTGATCGGGTCAACGCTGTCTCCCGTGTTCCCCGCACACTTCGTGAGGTCAAGAAGCGCTGGGATGATCTCAAAAGACGCAACGGGGGCAGGTTGGCCGATGCCCGTCATCGCAGTTATTGCTTGCCACCTGGTAGAGGATTGTCTAGCCTGAACAGATCCAGACAGACAAGCCCCAAGCTTCATCAGGCTCAGAAGAGAATAGCAAACAGGGCAAAATCCACTTATCCCTGCTTCACAGATGCTGATGCAGGTAATTTCAAGTTACTTATTGTTTAATGTGTAATGTGTAGATATTGTGTCTGAAACTATACTGAATCTATTGAATTTGTATTTTCAATAAAACTTGCTGATAGACAAAAAGTTTTTTTTTTCTTTTACTTCTCTACTTATTTTACATACCTGTTGATTTTTATTTGGTCACTTTGTAGTTACCTGATTTGCTGAACTGGGGTTATATGAGGTTACCCTTGTAACCTAAAATACCTCTTCTTATATCTTCTATTTGTAATGGGAGGAACAGGGAATGGATCCGAAAGAGATGGCTTTGAGAACGAGGATGAGGCAGGAGGGAGAGGCGTGGATGAAGGAGAGGGAGAAGGCGATGGAGGCGAGAGCAGCATAGAGGACAAACTCGGATTGGGATTGAGTCTAGGACTGGGGCTGCCTACGACATCTGAACGCTGGTTGCCTCCCTCTCCACTATATAGTGCTCCGTTTCTTAATGGGACCCCACAGCCCAGCCCTCAACCGTCCGTTGGGACACAGCACGAGCCCCTGGAGGCTCCAACACGCACCTCCTGGCTAGAGGATGAACTCAGGGGGTTGGGTGAAGCGGCAGTTCAGCTTGGGAACAGGGTGGAACAGAGTCTGCGGGACTTTGGGGAAGGTTTTAGACATGATGTGCGAACACTGGTGGCCTCACAAGAAAGCCTCTGTGTCAGCCTCCAGCAAAATAATGTGCTTCTACAAAGGCTTTTGGGTATTCTTGAGATGCAACAGCAGCAACAAGCATCTAACATTCATCCTCCCCCTACAGTATCACCAGTAATGCCACCTGTACCACCCCAAGCTGAAAACTTAGATGGTAACATCCAACCCAGTCCATCACTAGAAATATCTGGGACAGTACAACAGCCGCGGCGGGGGCGGTCAAGTGAACAGAGAAGGCGACGACGGCGTTAGCAACAGTACATTTTTAAAAATGCTATAATTTATTTTTGTTTAGTATTTAAATATAACAGAACCATCACAATGTTACCCCAGTGTTACCAAAGTCATCTTCTCAGTCCAGCAATGCCTTTTACTCTGTAGAAAACATTTTGATTTAAATCGAATGTCAGTGTTGAGAAAGGTCTAATTTAGGTAACAGATGTTTTATTGTGAATAGACAATCAGAATTATATTGATTTAAAATATTGATATATTTAAAGTATTTTGCCCCATTTTGATGCACTTATTCACTTTGGCAAATTATATTTCATTGTCTATTTTCTTCTGATTTCTGATTCATGCATATTAATTGTGTTGTATGCACTGCTGTCCTGCATGCAGTCTCCAGCCGGAGAGAATAAAATGCAAAGGACCTCCAAATAAATTTCACACTAATGTACTATTTTGCACAATTTGTATTGTCTTGTAAATAAAAAAGAGCATTTGATTTCTTAAGATGTATATGATTATGTAAGTGTAAATAAACACAGCCCTGACATAGCATTACTCTTGTTGGGATTATGTTTGTATGCTGTTAAAATGTAGCCAAACTGATTTTCAATAGACTACAAACTTATTAGATTTAGTGTTGCTAAATGCATTAAGTAATACTTTAAAACAAATCATCTGAAGGTATAGAAAACAGTATAACTTATTGCGTAACTTGATGCGTCCCGTGCCATGTCTTTAAATACAGCATTTGTTGGAAAACAATTTCTCTACTCACTCAATTTACCACTGTCCCCATTTCATCATTTTCGGGTTTCGTCTTTGCCAAGTTATAGTTGTTTGCATATGGGGTGGGCCAAAAGTAGGTATACAGTTTTAATTTTACAGTACTGAGTGGGTCATGTTTAGTCTCTCAGCTGTTCGAAATGTCCTCCGTCAACGTTGATACATTCCTGGAGCCTGTCCCTGACACTGTCACACACTTTAGCACACAAATCCCGGTTATCATCAATGATAACTCATCCACTGTGTGGGGCTTCCTCTCAAAAACCTTCTCCTTTACTGCGTCGTCGTCCCCCCCCCCCCCCCCAAAAAAAAAAAAAAAAAAGTTCATGGGTGTCAGGTCTGGGAACCAAAGTTCATGGGTGGTTCCCAGTCAGTGCTGTCACTTCACCCGATTCAACGCTGTGGAAAGGTGTTGTCAAGAGAGCTGATCGAAGTGTGCCACAGTGTCAGGGACAGGCTCCAGGAATGTATCAACATTGGTGGAGGGCATTTCAAACGCCTAAGACACTAAACATGACCCGGTCAGTACTGTAAAATAAAAACTGTATACCTACATTTTAAAATAACTTTGTGAAATAGAAGCTTTACTTTGTGAAATAAAAACTGTATACCTACTTTTGGCCCACCTTGTATTTCTTCGTAGGTTTCTCTACATGCTCCAGCGTTGCCCCTCATTTCCAAAACACACCCCGGTCTTCTACAGTCATTCGTGTCGCGATTGCACATACCTGATAAAGAAAATGACATTTCACCCCACACATCCATGTCCCCGACCGCTGCACGCCACTGTACACATGGAGTGGGTTGGCTGCCGTCCCTTCATGCCATTTTAATTTAATCTTGATTCAGAGGATCAATACAATTATAAATGTAAACAAGGTGTGATGTTGTAATACTTTTATTTTATTTTTTGATAAGAGAAGAATTTAACCCTTCCATGTGTCCCGGTTCTGTTCCGGCGGCGACACAAATGAGAAATAAACGTCACGTCCGACGTCGGCGCACAGACCGCCCGGTGAGCGGCTTGGCTTATACGAGCAGGGGGAGTGCGACCTAAACATGGCCGCTCGGCATTCACCGGAGTCCCGGACACAGCAGAAGCAGTCTTCCGCTGCACCCGATGAGGAGACGGGGCGTTCGCTGGATGGGGACGGCGACTGCCGGCCGTGCTCGCCGAGTCTTCCCGATGCTTTCCAGCGGCTCGATGGAGAAGGCGGCGATGGACGCCTGTGCTCCGGCGCTGGGATGCACGGCTGGAGTAACAATCAAACCGATAACAGTACCGAGCACCGGGGAAGCGAAACGCCGGCGCGATCCACCGTGGTGATAGATTTAACCGGGTCCGAAGCTGAGGCCCATGCGCACCCCATGTTTGATTGCGACAGTCCCCGAGATTTTGACGGGTCGGAGGCGGGCGACGAGTTTAAAGTCTACAGGGTAGCAAAGGGGAACGATGGTGAGTGGGAAGAGTAATTTAAATAAAGATCGCACGGTGCATGTCGGACGACATCTGATGGAACTAGTTGCACTGATTAATACCTGACGCGTAAAAGTGGCAGTTTCGGTTGTCTAAGTAGCTATTTGGTAAGGAATTTTGAGTACTGATGAATATCATCTAGAAAGTAGACAGTAGTCATCATGGGGGCAGCTGTGGGCAAGGCTTGTTGTTGTTCTGCTACCCTCTGGTAGGCGCTACAGGTCCATTAAAACACGCACCTTCAGACTCAAGGGCCATAAGATCACTAATTAACAATAAATCTGTGTGCAATATTAGTCTTTAGTGCTTACAAAAACCAGTGCAATAATAGTAATCCTTTTTATTTATCTTATTCATCCATAGTATTTATATTTACTAGCTGCCTCCTATGGCTGGCTCTTTTTACGAATTAATCTAAATACAGATATCTATATGACTTTATTTTCTGTAATTTTTAAATTCTTTATTTCTTTTTCTCTTTTTATTACACTTATAAGGAGCAGCACTCCATTGTGTATTTAGAATACAATGACAATAAAGCTTATATTATATTCTATTCCTCATCAATTAAGTTTGATGAAAGTTTTGAGGGAGGGTAACCCTGTTTCTGCAACACTTCAGCATAGTGGGTTCACATCCCGCACCAGGATGTGTGTCTGGAATTTGCATAATGTTAATGTCAGATGAGTTTCCTCCAGTTTCCTGCCATAGTCCCTTCCAGTGGTGTACCCAGGGTTTTAAATATAGATAGAGCCCAGCTCCGCCTCCTTGTGTCCTAATCGTACCTTGCTGGTACACAGCTCCACCTCCTAAAACATTAACCTTTTAAACTTAGTAAAACATTCAAAGTGAGCAGTTTAATAAGTTTTGCAATAAAAATCGTTTTTTCATCAGCTTTAATTTCAAGCTTCATTAGTCACTGATTTTTAGAGTGGATGAGGTATCACTACATGATGCCTCGATTTCTGTCCTGTGTTTTTGTATTTGGACTTATTTTCCTTACCGTACAGAATTCAGAATTAGAATTTGGTGATCAGTAGCCAAAACTTAACATACTAGCATTTTTATGAGGACATTACAAATGAATAAACAGGAGTATTACTCATTATGGAATTATAAGCCATTTTAATGCACTTTCAAATTTTATGTTCAATAGGTGGGCTTATGTTATGTTTTTTTAAAAATCAAGTATTATTGAACCACATGAAATGTTCAATAGTCATATTAAATAAAAATCACTCTTTGACCACATTGTTTAGTTTATTTTATTTTACTCTTAAATGGTAACACAGCAGGTTGATAAATGAACATATGGTATCTTTAAGATAACCCCCCCCCCCCCATATTCTGATTTAACCATTGTCTTGTGCCTTATGCTGCCTGCCATAGGCTACAGAACCATCATTCACAACCCTGTACTGGATAAATGATTGAAAGATTGATGGATGGAATTTTTGATTGATTACTAAACACTTCTGGTATTGTTATGATGGACTGTGTTTAGGAGGGTGTTTTGGTTAAAGTCTCAAAAAATCTACCAATCATATTTAGCCATTTGCTTCAAACTTTGCACAATAATATTGCTAATGATTTTATATCTTTTATGTTTGTCCCTGAAACAATTCAAACATTTTGCATTCTTGTTTGCTTAGTTTTAAAGTACCTGTTGCTTTTCTTAATATTAGAAGGTAGATTTAAATTTTGACATGGCTCAGTCAAAACACCAGCTGTGTGTTGTGACATAACAGCCTTTCAGATGCACTGTTGTCATTGTTCATATTTATTGTCCCTGAACAGTGCCTGCGATTGATCTGACAGACAGAGGAGCAGAAGAGCCAATGTCTGGCATGGACCAGACATTGGCACAAGAAGGGGGAAGGTTAAAAAAAAGCGAAAGCAAGCAGCTTCATGTGAAGGAAGGCCACAAAATGGATGGGAAGATATATGCAAAGCAGCGCAAGAGTAGACTGGTATGCCGTGAGTGTGGAAAGCGGTTTACTCGTCGGGAGACTTACAACCTTCATCGGCACTTTCACACACACCAGGACGAGTTGGCTTCCTTGACCTGCAAAGAATGCGGCGACACCTTCCGACACCGTAGCAGTCTAATCAAACACCGCAGTGAGCATAAGAAAAAGGGTGCGGTGGTAAGGCTGGTGAGGAGACCCCACAGTAGGGAAGGGAGGTGTTTGCAGTGTGAGCACTGTGCCGAAACATTCCTCACGCTGGGGAAGCTGAGGTGCCATCGATGCCAGCAGGCCCCCGAGAAACCATACCGCTGTCCGCTGTGCCGCCGGGATTTCCAGTATAGGGTGTCCATCAATGCCCACATGCAGACTCACTCTCTGGAAAATCCCTTCCGTTGCCTTGAGTGCAACAAGGGCTTCTCATGTGGCTATATGCTCCGCATCCACCAGCGCTCACATGCTGCCCTAAAGCCCTTCGAGTGCCCTGAATGCGGTATGGTATTCCGGCACCACTCCGTCATGGAGGACCACCGGCGCAGACACAAAGTAGACCGGCCCCGACAGTGTCGCATCTGCGGCAAGCGTTTCAAATGTGTTAGCCTGTTCCACCAGCACCAGTTCCTGCACACTGGAAAGAAACCATTTCGCTGTCCCATGTGCGGAAAGGCCTTTGCCTTCACTCAGAACTGGAGGGCACACTGGAGGCAGCACTGGAAGCACACGCACGATTGTCCTCGCTGTCCACTCACATTCCCTGATTTGGCTGGCCTGCAGACACATATAATGAGCCACGACAGAGAGCAGAGGTCCAGAGTGGGACTCAGAACAAGTATCAGCAGTACAAACAGTAGTGGTGTCTCGCAACATTCCCTCGCCTGTCCCCTCTGTCCTCTTAGTTTTTCAGAATCAGCCAGCCTGAAAACACATTTATTGACCCATGAGGCAAGGGAAGAACATGGTGGGCGGAGCATCAACAACAACACCGAGCGCCAAGACCTTGCCCACAGCTGCCATCAATGTCCCCTCACCTTTCCCAGTCTGTCAAGCCTACAGATGCACTTGGTGAGTCATGGGACAGCATCAAAACAGGGATTGGCTGTGTTGGAGAGGGTGAGCACAAACAATGGGGAGGATATGTCATTGCTGGGCTGGCCAGATCTGTTGAATCGAAAGATGCTGAAGTGCACTGAATGTGGCAAGACCTTCCGCCACAGATCGGTGCTGGAACTCCACATGCGCATCCACTCCAAGGATAAACCTTTCCAGTGTAGGGTGTGTGGCAAGGGTTTTAAGTTCAGCAGCTACCTGCAGCAGCATCTAATCATCCACACCGGGCAGAAGCCTTTTAAATGTCCTGATTGTGGCAAGGACTTTGCCTTCCTCCAGAACATGAAAACTCACCAAAGGCTGCATCAGCAGAAGCCGTACCGCTGCACTCAGTGCCGCAAGGGCTACAGCGAAGAGGCTGAGCTACAGCGGCACATGCTCTCCCACACTGGCGACAAACCTCACAAGTGCCAGCTCTGTGACAAGAGCTTTGGGTTAGCATATTTGCTGCGGGACCACTTGAACACCCACACTGGGGAGAGGCCCCATCGCTGTACAGAATGCCACAAGTCTTTTCCCTGGTTAAGCAGCTTACTGGTGCACCAAAAGATCCATGCTCGCAAACGTCAAGGACTCAACCAGTCGCTTTCTATGTCCTTGGCACCTCAGAGAGGAAGAGGGAGGGGCAGAGGGACTAGGGGCAGAAGAGGGAGCAGGTGGACTTCAGGCTGGCCCCGGTGGGCAGGAGGGGAGGGCACTGAAATGCCTGATCACCTGGCAACATATCCAGGTCGGCTGCCTGTAGGACAGGAATGGCTAGAAAAAGCATCCCATCACACTTCGCCAACATTTTTTGAACCCCAGTGGCAGCAGCAGCCGCAATGGCAGTCAGAAGTGGGAGGGAGGCCAGTTGTCACCCAACAGCTGCCGTCAGGCTGGATCAGTTCACCTCCATCAAGCCAAGGCAATCAAGTTGCAGTTCAGTACAGTGAGACCCATTCCCATCAGCCAGATGGAGCTTCTGTATGGGGAACCCAGGCACTTCCATCACAGAAGCCAGTTCCCCTGGACCAACCTGGGGAGGAACTGAAGCAACAGAAAGAGTTGCAGCAGCAGCAACAGGCTTTGAGTTGGACTAGTCAACCACCATCTACACCAGGCCAAACCACAGTCCAGTATGAGGAAGCCCATCCTCGATGCAGTGAAGGAACTACTGTGTGGGAATTCAGCACTCCTCCTACAGTACCAGAGAATTCATCAGAAAAACCTGGGCAAAGCCAGCAACAACTCATGGGCTGGTCAGTTAGTTCCACTCCCACAGCTGTGAGCCAGCCTGCAGTTCAGCGTGAGGACCCCCATAAGGTTAAAGACATGTCTACATGGAGCTTACAGGCAAAGTCTGCTCAACTCCAAACTCTTAGCTCGTCAGACAGTTCGGAGGTTAGCCAAAAGCAGCAACAGCCTTTCAGTTGGATTGGTACACCAATGTCAGCATCAGGGAGCAAAACTGCAGCGTGTTATCAGGATTGTCAGCCTCACTGTGGGGATGGCATTGCAACCTGGGGGCTCCAAACATCACCAGTTGTGTCCTGTGCCCAAAGTCTACTGGAAAAATCTGCAAACAAAGGGCAGCAGCAGCATCTAGTAGCAAAAGACTACCAAGTTACTCCTAAACCAGCCACCCCCTTCCCCTCTGCCCCCCCTCAGATTGCCTTCTCCCTCCAGTCTTGTTATTCGGATGCGTTCAGCTCGTGCATGCAGCCTCAAAATAGCTACCTCACCCAGAAGACTGCGCTCTCTGAGAAGCATGCAGGTCCCCGGACTTTACCTACAGTGCAGCGATCTGAACTCCATGATCCTCATGGAATCCACCCTCCCAACTCTTTGCCATTTTCCCCAAACCGCCTTCTCCAGTGCATGATCTGTGGACGTACTTTACCACGGGAATTAGACTTGCACATCCACTATATGCAACATGCACAGGGAGAGTTTTGACAGCATATACAGAGAAGACCTAAACTCTACTGAATGATACATAAGCTGGGTTGCCACATAGGCTGCACTTGCCAATAATTTGTTCAAGGCATTTTTTTAACCTAAAAAGTAATTTACAGGTATTTAAAAAATACTGCAAAGATATCAGTCATGTCCAGTGTTCATTTAACTTTTCATTGCTGAATAGAAGATGCGTCTTAATCTGACACACAGATAATTAAATGACTACCTGGGACAGAAGCTGTCTGATAAACTAAACTGTTTCAGAATCTCATACAGTACATGCTGAACTTTTGGCACACAAACCTTTTTGATATGGTGGTATATGAATGGTTTCAGTTATGGACATACAAGTAGAAATTGAGATGCATTTGTATAATTCAGTGTTGATTTATGATAAATGCTTAAAATAAAAGCTTTGTTTTACGTTCTCAAATATAGCTGAAAGTCCTTTCTGTCAGTGTGTCAGTTGTGTTTTATAAAGCAATGTTTCTCAAACCAGTCTCTGGGAACCCCCAGATGGTCCATGTTTTTGCTGTCTCCCAATTCCCTTGAGGTTGGAAGGAAGCAAAAATGTAGACCATCTGGGGTTTCCCGTGGGCTGGTTTGGGATACACTGTTATGAAGTGTTTGACACCACAGGTATTAGTGTTTTCCTTAATACCATGTTTGGATGTCTTGATCTTTCTGTTGAACATTGTTTTTGGTCTAATGATCTATTTAAAATTCTTTACTTTTATGTGAGCTATTGTGGGTTTTTTTTTTCCTTCAAAAAATTGCATGGTAAATTTCATTTGTATTTATTTGTGGCAAAATGGTTGCAGGCAGAGTGCGAATTACCCCTCCATAATTGGGGGGTACTGCCTTCATAACACTTCTATGACCATTATGGTCCATCACCGCATCAATACGAATA